GTTGGAGGTGGAGCTGGCTCAGWGRRRGGCTCCTCATCAGGTGTTGTGATGAGGGGGATGGCTCTCAGCTCCTGGGGAGTGTGGATGTCAAAGGAGCTGATGAAGCTGTCTGAGGAACTGAGACTGTCCTCTCTGAGCGGCTGGTAGTCCTCCATGAACAGATGCTCCAGAAGCTCAAACTCTCTGAGACTCTGAGAGGGACTCTGCTCTGGTGTAAATGGAGGTGGAGCTGTCCCAGAGCGGGGCTTCTCATCAGATGTTATGATGAGGGGGATGTCTCTCAGCTCCTGGGGAGTGTGGATGTCAATGAAGCTGATGAAGCTCTCTGATGAACTGAGACTCTCCTCTCTGTGCGGCTGGTTGTCCTCCATGACCATGAACAGATGTTCCAGAAGGTCAAACTCTCTGAGACTCTGAGAGGGACTCTGCTCTGGTGTAAATGAAGGTGTAGGAGATCTGGACTATTTGCAGGCCATGACATCGACTGAATGTGTCTTTCTCCAAGGAATCGCTTCACTGTTTTTGCCCTATGGCACGATGCATTGTCATCTTGGAAAATGATTTCATCACCTCCAAACATCTGTTCAATTGAAGGGACAAGAAAACTGTCCAAAATATCAATGTAAACTTGTGCATTGATAGAAGAAATAACCACAGTCATCTCCCCAGTGCCTTTGCCTGACATGAAGCCCCATATCATAAAGGACTGTGGAAATTTGGTTGTTTTCTTCAGGCAGTCCTCTTCATAWATCTCACTGGAACGGCACCAAAAAAAAGTTCCAGCATCATCACCTTGTCCAATGCAGATTCTTGACTCATCACTGAAGATAACTTTCATCCAGTCATCCACAGTCCATGATTGCCTCTCCTTAGCCCATTACTGTCTTGTTCTTTTTTGTTTAGGTGTCAATGATGGTTTTCTTTTAGCTTTCCTGTATTGAAATCCCATTTCCTTTAGGCGATTTCTTATGGTTCGGTCAAATACATTGGCTCCAGCTTCTTCCCATTTATGCTTCATCTGTTTAGTTGTACTTTTTCAGTTTTCAAGACAAATGGCCTTAAGTTGTTTGTCTTGACACTTTGATGTCTTTCTTGGTCTACCAGTATGCTTGGCTTTAACAACCATTCCATGCTGTTTGTATTTGGTCCATATCTTGGATACAGCTGACTGTAAATAGCCCACATCTTTAGCAACCATGCGTGAAGAGTTACCTTCTTCAAGAAATTTCACAATCCTCTCTTTTGTTTCAAGAGACATTTCTCTTGTTGGAGCCATGGTTCTTGCCACTCCACGTCATCCAGCAGCCCTCCAATGTGTCATGACTGCAGGTGTTTTTAACTGCAGACTAACAAGCAGATCTAATCTGAGGCAGGTGTCCATTTAGAGAAAGTGATTCCATACGTTTCTCCTCAGAATTGAGTGATTCCAATTTTTCCCCCTGTGCTTGGTCAATAAAAGTAAAATTCACTGATTTCCACAATGTTTTCTCTTCATTCCTTTGAGTGTTCCTGAAAGCCAATAAGTTGCACTTTGGAATGACCTTATTATTGTATCATGTTTTTGATCTGAGTTTGTTTTACAGAATGAAATGTCTGAATGAGTGCTCATCCAAGACTGGTGATTCCATACTTTTTGCCAGGGGTTGTATATATATATATATATATATATATATATATATATATATATATATATATATATATATATAAAACTAATGCATACTGTAGCATTGGCTAAAACACTAAAGGTGTCAAAGTAGTATCAAACAGTAGTGTGGCTGCCCAATCTGTTGCGGAAGCACAATCTGTAYWKTCAGCTCATTTGTGCATGCGCCAAAGGAAACACAGCTCATTTGCATATGCACTAAATGACAGACTTCTGGTAAGCACTCGATTTAGAAAAAAAATACTGAAAATAATTATTTCCTTATGTTAATTATAAAGGTGAGTTAAATTATACTCTGAAAACAGTTTAATATTGTATACATAGATTTACAATGTATACATATGTATTTATACTGACTTGCCGAGTATTTTCTAGACAATCATGTTATAATTCATATTATATTCATTTTATTTTTTACCTGGAATAAAAATCTACATTTTTTGCAAACGTTGCCTTTTCTATGAAACATTGCAGGTGATGAAAGACTCAAAACGAATGAATTCTATCTTAAGTCTAGCGAAATGCTATGCTAAAAACAAACGTATGGATCGTGCTTCCGTAACGAATCGGGCAGCCACAAGTAGCAGAAAGCTAGCTAAGTGGTAAAACATTGCTTAAAAAAGTTACAGAATTTTTGCTTAAAGTAGCAACATTCTAGCTAAAAGCTCAATGTAGCAAAAAGCTAAAATGTTAAAGGTAGCAAAATAGTATCTAAAAGTAGCAAAAGGCTAGCTAAAAGCTAAAAATGGCAAATGACTAAAACGTTACAGGTAGCAAAACAGTATCTAAAAGTAGCAAATGTTTTGCTAAATGTGGCAAAACACTAATGAGAGGGTAATAAAGGTTTAGCCCAAAGTAGCAAAACACTGGCTAAAAGCAGACATAAACTAGCTAAAACGCTAACATTATCAAAATGTTAGCTGAAAGTAATATTGTAGCTATATATGAGCTAAAAGTATAAAATGTTACATAAAAACTAATAGAAATTTAAAAATAACCAAAAATATCTAAAGGTTGGCAAAAACGTTTTATGTATCAAAAGATTAGACAGAATAAAAAGCTAGCTGAAATAAGAAATAGCTAGAACCTGAGTGGCTAAAATGACATAAAGGCACTAAAAGGCTGGATTAAATGATGCAAAAGCTATATGCTGTTAAGTGTCAGGAGGACTTAGGGCTGTGTATTGGCAAGAATTTGGCGATACGATACATATCATAACAGAGGGGTCACGATACGATATATCCCGATATATTGCGATACTGTAAGCAAGGCAATATGTTGCGATACATTGCGATTTTTTTGTCCAAAAATTCTATTAAATAAAAACTTCTTACTGGAAAAAAAAGGAAAAAAGAAAAGCTAATGTTTACTTACAATGCTAATGCTACCCTTACTCTCTGGCGCTCGAGAGGTAGAGGAGCCAAATGGCTGGCTCACTGCTGCCAACTAGTGGTCAGAGGCTGAACTACAACATAAAAATGAATGGTTGGCAAGAAGGTTGACATTTTAAACCTTAATTAAAAATCGATACAGGGCTTTAGAATATCGATACAGTATCGGGAAATGAAATATCGCGATATTTCAGTGTATCAATATTTTCTTACACCCCTAGGAGGACTGTGATCAATTATACATTGGGGGAAACAAAACAGCCACTGTTCAAAAGACTGAGCCAGCACAGAAGAGCTACTTCGTTGGGCCAGGACTCTGCAGTTTACACTCATCTACAGGCCAGCGGTCACTCTTTCAGGGATGAAGATGTTCTCATCCTTGATAGAGAGGAGCGTTGGTTTGAGAGAGGGGTAAAGGAAGCCAGAAAAAACGTCCACCATTAAAAAGAGGTGGAGGCCTTTGTGTCCAGTTGTCCTCCTCCTACAACGCTGTTATTGCAAGTATGACTCAGCCCCCTGTGAGCAAAAGGTGTGAATCAGGGCCCCAACGATACCCAACACAGAGGGGAAAAAGACAAAAACGAGCCCCGCCTGCACTCACTACATATACAAAACACAACACCTAAGAACCACAGCATCCAAACCAATATGTCAGGTGATGGGGCACATGACCCTCATTGAACAATAGAGCTAATCAAGCCTATTGTTAAGCAATGGCCCCATGTGACTAACCTGTTTGTCCATGTGGAGGCAGTGCTTATAAGGCTGAGTTCACCTGAAACTCATCAGACTGAAGGTCTCTTGGAGGAGAGACGAAACGTTTCACTAAAGAAGAAMCCATCCAGAGGACCTACTTATTTTCTCTTTTTGATGCAAAAGCTATATTTGTATTTTGTATACAATTAGTATAAAAATTGTATAAAAGTTGCAAAATACAAGTCACAACACCCATCTGCCTAACAATATGAGCACTTAAACTGTTAGTGGGTGAAATGGTCCAACTGAAATTGAAAATCGTAAAATAGAAATACTATTAATTTATTGAGGGACACTAGTTAAGTCTGCAGATTTTGATGGCAAAACGTACAGGAAAATGCAGATTAAAAAACAGAAACACTATGATTTATTTTTAGACCATGCTTTTCTAATCACTGTCTTGTGAATGTAATCTGGTGTTTTAATTTGCACTGGCTCTGATTCGTGTAGTGTTTGACTGCGGGTTCTGTGTATTCAGGCCTGTTATGCAAACCTTCAGGGGCTCGCCCCCAGACAAACCGTTTGCATGTAGGGCGGGACAAGACCTGCAAACCCTGTTTTGTCCCACCACAACTTTTCGCGCTATGGTTCAGGTACTGATGGCGCCATTCAAAGCCCACCTGTAACTATCGCAATCCATCTGTCCATCTTTCAGGTGCAGAGCTAATTACAGCAACCCCCCCGGAGGTAAAAGCATTGGTGATTAGGTTAAAGGCGTTATCAGAGGCCTTTGTATACCAAGAAACAATAGTGGCACCGCGGGAGAGATGCAGCGGTGAAGCCCAATTTTTTCGGCTGAAAGTCAAAGATCGTCTTTAAAAAAGAGGACTTACTCACTTCTAGGTTTTACATTATCATTCCTTACAATCACTGATGGCTGAAAAGTGATTAATTAAGACTTCATGCCATAGAATTAGGTTAAATAACTTATATAATTTGAATTGATACCAAAATCATTCTGAATTAGTCAAGGTCTGATGCTAAACAAAATAATATATGATTCGTGTGAAATTAGCTTTGGAGTGAGACCTCTTTTCTCATTCACATATCTTTGAACAGAGCGCGCCGGCTGCCCCGCCAGCATTATGGAGGCGTGGTAGAAACAAGATTAAGGTGGCGCTGATTGGTTGTTGCTGTGTGACGACACTAATAAGCAGGGTTTTGATTGGCGGAAGGGATCCAGCTGCCTCAGAGCGCCAGAAAACAAGCTTGAGCGGGTGTTGCTGAAGTGTCCCTGGACAGACTGTCCCTTATGACAGGAGTATTGATATAAGCTGAGTGGAGCTACCCGCTACTTTTGACGAGGGAAAAAGCTGCTATGTTGGGCTGAAGACGATACGTAGTGATAAGTCTGTAAAGCTGAGCCACATTGGAATATTTCATTCATTCATTCAACAGCTGTAAAGGTAAATATATCTGTTTTACCTCTTATTTTACCATCTTTCTGTATAAACTAGTACTGGTATTAAGGTAATCTAAGCTACTAATCGAGGCTAAGCAACCTATTAAAGATGAATTAGCTTTATTGATTGTTAATAAGCTACAAAAACGCATTTAAAAGGCTAATTTACAGCTAGGTGGATGAGGTAATTAGGTTACTGTGAGTGAACTCTCCGTCTGCCGGGTAGTAATAGTAACWGGACGCGTTATAACTTTAGTTAACCTTTATTTATAGCAGTGTAATATTGCCATACAGTTGACAACCTGTCACATTTATKAACCATATCTCGGCAGGTCGAAGCAGCATCTGAGTAATGTAGYTAGCTGCTAAGTGCTAGTTAGCCAAAGTTATTTGCGCCAAATTCATCTGACCACCGAGTGAGATTTAATGCTAACCCGAATACCATCACACCCTATTGTTCCTGCTCAGCTTTACCTCCAATTATTCCCCCTCTGATTTATTTGTACATTGTTTATTTATTTTTTTGACTGCAGGTTTTCCCAAATGGAAGTGGAATGTCTGGCGCTGGAAGACCTCACAAGTCCGAGGAAAAGTTTCTCAGTGCAGCCAGAGGAAGATGAAGGTCAAAGTGAACAAAAAGTGGGTTTTCTTTATTTGTGTGTGCAAARGTCTAACATCCACGTCAGATCTTTAACAGTGTGCGGAGTTTGGAAAACAATTTGTGTTTCCAGGCTTTATTTTCTTTTCTAAAAATAAAAACTTTATTTTGCAAAAACAAAAAGCTCTTAACATTTCATTTCAGCTTTATGGCAGGCCCTTTTAACATAAAATCTGATTGGCCGCACTTACATTCCAGATATCTGAATTTGATTTATGACTAGGCGTGTTCGTTAATTAATATATATTTAATTAAATTATACTACCTTGTTAAAACGTCACAGATTTATGTAGCTTTTTAGGTGGAAAGTTTCTAATGTACTTTAACATTACTCATCCTTAGCTTAATTTGCTGTTCAGTGGTCTGCAGTGTCAGCACAGTCCAAGTCAAATTCTTGTTTTTTATATGATTTTTAGCTGCAGCTCTACATGAGTTAAGAAATTCAGATAATTTATTGTCTGTCACTTCAGCCACGYGAAATTCTGCAGGCAAGYGTTTGGACAGCTAAGTGGCAGCAGGACGGCTTCTTTTAATTTTAATTCAGATATCGAAACATGTAACTTTGACTTGTCGTAATAATGTTTCCGAAATCTTGAATTGTTCTTCTGACTAGTCAGATAATGCAGATATTTTAAATTACCWTTCAGGATAGTCAACGTGTATTTGTGTATAGTCCAAACTAACTCTTAGATATCTAGAATGTAATTACAGTCGTACGAAGCTGCTCATAAGTTAAAATGGCCTGCCATATTAAACCAGTTTTAATTCTGTTTTAGTTTGTTTTCAAAATAATGCCTATTTGGAATGAAAGTATAAAAAATTTGATGACTCAAAGTGGTAATTTAGTCATAATTTTAATCACAAAACTTAATATGCTGTATAAATGCACATTATTTACCATATTGATAAGCTACAGGTGACACCTGTACGAGTCCCTACATTAACCCTACTTTATTCAGAATTTAGAACAGTTTCACAAAAAACACTAAAGACTCTAGAACTCAGTATTTAAGACAAAATAAAATAAAAAGGTTATTTTTTTAAATTTCCTGGAGGCAACAGCATTTTTAATAAAGTAGTTTATGAAAATTCATAAATCTAAMTGTAAAACTCTCTCACAGGAAAACRTGCACACAGACAGAAGAAGATCAACGCCGCTGAAGTCAACCGAGTCGCCTGTCCCCGTTCTGCTGGCAAACAAGAAAAGCTCGGCGCCCGATCTGACCCCCATCAAACAAACTGTCCTGGCAGAACCCTGGACCCCCACGGCTAATCTGAAGATGCTGATCAGTGCTGCTAGTCTGGACATGCAGGACAGAGAGATGAAAAAGGTGCTGTTCAGACCGATAGAGAACGATAAAGATAAGTCTGTGAGCTCGGACACTCTCGAGGATCCGGAGGTGGAAGATGCTTCTCGGGTATGTAAACAAGAGAAGTCCTTAATAGTTTACTCCATCAAAGATAGCCATCGTTTAAAATTCCTGTAGTGATTATAGGTTTGAATTTATGGTTGAAATACTGTTTTTTTTTTTTATTTACCTGCTTCTGTCCCACCTTTCAGTTTGAAGAGGAAGACGGAGAGAAAAAGCCAAGCAGGAAGCAGAAAAGTTTGGGTCTGCTTTGCCAGAAGTTCCTGGCTCTTTATCCAGACTACCCCGGACCTCACAGTTCCATCTGGATCTCACTGGAGGAGGTGGCAAACAATCTGGGTAAGAGCTGGTAAACTAGGTCTGACCACACAGCTGCTGGTGACGAGCATTAATCCAGAAGAAAAGCATTCATATCTTACTCATTTCCTCCAAAATATTCTCTCTTAAATCTACTTCAGCTTACTTGCTCTTCTTTCTTGGTTTTGCTAATTTTAGCTGCTGTTTTGTAACTATAATAGACTTTAGCTATTATTAAACTACTTTTAGCCAGCCCCTTTTTTCTGCTTTTTGCCTATACAGTAGATTGWATATTGCTAATTAACAGCTTTAGCTTTTTGCTATTCTTAGGTTTTACTTTGAGATATTGCTACTATTTTTAGCTATCCTTGTGCTATTTTTAGCTCTCATTTGGATATTTGTGTTGCTACTTTTATCTTTTAGCTTGCCTTGCGCTACTTTTAGCTATCATTCTGCTACTGTAACTATAGGTTTGTAGCTACTGTTCAACTACGTTTAGCCAGACTTTTTTCTGCCTTTAGCTTGTATTGATAATTTTACTTTTAAACTAGTTTTGCTATCTTTAGCTTTCGGTTGACTGTTTGCTACTTTCATCATTTTGTTACTTTTATGTTCTACTTTTAGCTATCACTACTATTTTTAGCTATGCTGCTTTTAGCTACCATTTGGCTGCTTTTAAGCCCTTTGTTACTTTTAGCTTCTAGTCAGCCTTTTGCTACCATTCTGCTGTTCTTTGCTACTTTTGGCTCTTAGCTAGCTGTTGTTATTTTTAGGTTGCCGTGTATGGCTTTTAGCTATCATCCCACTCATTTTAGCCAGACATTTGCTACTTTTAGCTACTATTTTTTCCACTACTTACTTGTAGCTAGCCCTTCGCTACTTTGGTTTTTGGTCAGCCTTTTTCAACTTTCTGATATTTTTGGCTAGCCTGTTGCTACATTTAGCTTTTAACTCTTTTCATATTGAGATGCATATTTCTTGTTTTCCTTTTTCTCATTCTAGCTCGATGTTTGATATTTTAAACCTGTGGCTCCATGTTTGCTAGAGATACACAGCTGCAGTTTGGAACAGACATTTCACAGGAACTCTTGTTTTCTGGCTCACTTTGTTAGGAGTGGAGCGCCGGCGGATCTACGAYATTGTCAACGTGCTCGAGTCTCTGTCCATCGTGGGCCGGTTAGCTAAGAACAGCTACACCTGGCACGGCCGGCAGCGGCTGCAGGAGACGCTGGAGGAGCTGCAGCGGAGAGGCCGGGAGCAGGGTTACCACCTCCAGATGGATCTGACCACTGAGACAAGGACGACCGGACAGAGCCGAGAGGATGATGGGGGGGAGGGAGACCCTGGGAATGGTAACGTATTTATCCCAAAATATCAATTTTTGTTGGATATGTAGTGAAGSTTAAGAAGTTCAAATGGTTCTTATAGTCATTATTTACATTTATGATCATTTTCTCTTGTTCTGCAGCTGGGAGCAACAGAAAGGACAAATCTCTGCGCATCATGAGTCAGAAGTTTGTCATGCTTTTCCTGGTGTCTAAAACTCAGACTGTAACTCTGGACGCAGCAGCGAAGGTCCTCATCGAGGAGAGTCAGGACTCCTCGAGTCACAGCAAGTATAAAAGTAAGTGACCCGGCAGAACCACAGCGTGAGCTAAAAAGCAGCTCGAGTTAAAAAGTAATGTGTATA